CTCCCCCTCGTACAAAGCCCCCTCACCGCCCCCCATGACCCCCCGCCCCCTGTGCCTTTAACCGTTTTGCAACAATATCGATCGCAAAGAGGAAACGTGCCAGCCGATTTCTAACTGGCCTCCCTTCAGCCATGTCATACATGCTCGAATAATTCGTATTTTTTTTTTCTCATTTCATATTGCGCTTGATATTCCAGCGAGTCATCTGATTCAATATCAAGCAAAACTAGGTGGGAACAACTGGGGCGAGAGATTTAAGAGAACGAGATAATTCATGAATTAGTGGGGAACTGGTGAAGGGGTCGGTAAAAATTTGATGGTCATTAGTGGGTGGATCGATAGCCGATGAAAAGAGGGTTTACATTCTTGTTAGGGAGATTTAGTGGGGGCTGTGAGAGGAAGGATCAGGTTAATGATCGAGAGGGGAGTCGTGTTGTCTTGGCTGGGATTGGGGATTGTTGCGGAGTTGAATGAATGAGATGGTTTTCCTTTCGCGGTGCTATTCACGTGTGAGTCTTGATTCTGAATCTTGTTTTACGTCTGAAAGGCAATTGCGCTGATTTATTATGCATCGTTATTATGCGCCTGTTGTGTAATGGGCGATTATATCGTCTCCAATTTGACGGAAGAATGATATCGGATCTGTGATGAAAGGTTAGACACTCGCCATGTTGGTCGGCAGGCGGCGCCGCGGTGGTGCGCGTCCTCGTGGAAACGAATAATACAAAACGTTTGACGGGATCATTGAATCGACAGCCAAATGAGCAAATCGGTGTTCATCATCATTCAAAAGAGGAATTCCAGCGAAAGAAGTTCAATCCGATGCCCTCGTTTGCTGAATCAATTGATTCATGATCTCAGGGGGTCACGACACAGCGGGATTATCTCGATTTCATCTCAATTATCTCGTCCCCAAAAAACATTCAGCGAAAGATGTCAACAGGGATGAGGTTGATGAGATAAAATAGACCCGCCAGATGGCAGAATCCAGCCAAAGGAATTATCTACTCCATTTAACCTACGAAAAAAACCAAGAATGGACTACAAGGGCTTGACTGGCCTCATGAAAGGATGAGGAATGCCAAGGAATGGTGAGGAATTTTGAAATGGCGCCGGCGCTTCGTCCAACTCTCGTGAAAGCGGGCCTGGGGGCTGCGGAACCCTGCGGTCGAGCACTCTTTTCACCTTCACAAACTTTCTTCCCACTTCTTTCTAACCTCCACTCACTTCACCCCAACAACAAACTCCATACCCATCCATATTTAGCTAGAGTCCACGTATACCGTTACCATACCCTCCCCCCTCCCCCCGCCGCCCCCCGGAAATATCAATTCTGTAACTATTTGTGAGCTAATAATTTCTTTTTTTTCCTTTTTCACCGCTCAGAAACCACCTCGGCTCGATAATCCCTGACCTTCCGCATGAATAATACAAATAAATAATTCTAGAGTAACAAAATGAAATAGTTTGAGTGAAAATTCTCCGAAAAAAAAAAGTATGATCACGTGGTGACAAATTGATGGTCATCATATCCTCCATTCGATACATTATTTTCCTGTCTGAACGCAAGCGAAAATATAAATACCAGTTTGACCCAGTTTCATGCTCTATCCGCATGGCCATTTCACCCCCTTTTTTTCAACCCCTCTCGCTCCCCACCCCCCGGACAGCCGATACACGCAGACATTTCGTGGAAAAAATTCCTGAGCAAATTTAATGAATAGAAAAACGGCAAAATTATTCACCCCCGATGTGACTGTCATCACCCGAGCGACTGCTCCCCCCAATCAAGAATTGAAAAGCTGGAGGAAAAATTATTCAAGTACAAGGTCAATCGAATGACAATAGCCCCCCGGTATCGATGAGATTCAATCATCCAGCTGATTAGGCCTCCGATAAGGGTAAAAATTCCAAGCGAGAGGGTTGAAAAAAAAAGAGAACGGGGGAGAAAAAATTCAAGGGGAAAAGAGTAGCTACTGGAGAGGGAAGAGGAAACGTTGCGGCATGGTGTGGCGTGACGTTGGCCAGGTGGAGGAGGGGGTGAGTTTGTTGAGTGAAAGAGGAAGAGAGATGGATCGAGGGGTTGGTTATAGTTGGGTAGAGGCACGCTGGCTGCCTGATGCCGGCCCCGATCCCGCTGGCTATCCATTGCGGGGTCATGTGTGCGAGGCAATGCGCCGGCGTAACGAAACCAACTCACTTATCCCCACCCCAATTTCCATAGTTCCTCACTCGAGTCTTCTACTAAGGGCCACCCGACGTCCTACTGACCCGCTATTGCTTCGTTACTCTTGTTGCCACCGTGTACAATCAAAACAGTATAATTTACTCCAAGAATTTTCAATCAACAGCTAAGTTGTTGGATTTCTCTTGATTTTGAGAAATAAATGAAAACAAATTTACGGAAAATTCGAGAAATCGCCGGAGGTTGGGTTTTAAATTTATTCGAAAGAAGACGAAAAATAATTTCATCTGCTAGTTGCGTTGAAAGGGTAAAAGACTTTGTCTAATCCGAGAAAATCATCACAAATAATTAACCCCCTTTCCACTGAAACCAAATTGATTCAAAAGATGAAAAAGAATTCCGTTCGACTTGCGTTGCAGGCGCACGAGACGAGTCTAATCCGAAAAAATTATCACAAATAATTAAACAAAATTGGCTTTCCCATCAGATCAACCCCCCCCCCTCCATTTTACGTTGAAATCAATAAGCCTGATAGCATGAAAATGTGCTCTCGTTACCAAGCGGAGAAAATAACACACATACAGTCTCTTTCACGATTATAAAACCCCCTGAGCAATTTTCAAGCATTTTCCACCTCCCCCCCCTCCCCCCGCCGGGGTTTCCTGTATCTTCCGTGAAACACATAATGTCATCGCATACTTGACACAAAGCCGCGCGCAGCCTTGGCCTCTCACCGCGTCACTCTCCTCAAAGAGAGAGAGCCCAATACGTTACATTGTGATAGAGCTCTTTGATATTTTAATTATTTTTGCTGGAGTTGTTGGAGCAGGTGAAGAAGCTGGAGGCTATCGAGGGTGATGAAGTAGTTGGGGGGGGAGGGGGGAGGGGGAGAGAGGCAGGGTGAATGAGTTAATTCGAGATATTTCGGTAGGGGGAGAGTAGGTTGATGATGATAATTGGTTTGGGGTGGGAAATGTTGGCGCAGTGGTTCATGTCGTTCAATGACCAGACCGCAGGTCTTCCTGGAACTCGACCTGCACTACTTCGTGTGAAAGAACAGAGGGAAGGGGAGGAGGCGTGATGTGAGGCTCGATATAACGATTCATTCGTACCTTGACCAAATTACATTTTACCCGAGTTCTCTTGATATTCACACTCGTTTATTTCTGGGTAAATTGTAAATCAGGCGAGAAAGTGGTCAAATGTAGATGAATAAAATTTGGGTCTCACTTGACGTGCGATTATCTCGGCAACGAGTGATCGCAGGGGAAAATGCCTGAGAACGTTTTTCACCGGAAATTTCGTCCTCTACAAAAAATATTCCGAGACATTTTCTCGTTGGACGTATCGTTTGCGAGATAAATGGCAAAATACGAGAGGCCGAATGTCCCTCGTCCGTTAATTAATTCTCCGAACAATTCGCGACTATTTTTTCATAAAAACGGAATTGTACACTCACTCTACATTCATACCCATCGTTAGAAGTTATAACCCAGCGATGTCCACCATACGCTACCACCCACCCACCCCAACAACAATAGAATTCCCATTTAAACCCATCCCATCTAAATCAATACCCCAACTAAACCGAAACCCAACTAAAAGAAAGGAAAAAAAGGCCTGGTATTGACCAAATGATTCAACTGGATTTCTTCAGAAAGGTCAAAAGGTTGCGCCACTATGAAATCCCGAATTGTCACCCTCGTTCGAACGAAAAATCCACTTCCCCAAATAAGTCAACAACAATTCAAACACACCGTCAACTCAAATCATTCCGTACAATCGATCGTTCTACTTACGTCAATGCGATGTGTCAATCCTCACCTAGTCATATGTACAAGTCCCATTAAATCACAAAAAAAATCATATGAGACGAATGGAAATGAATAAAAAACACGGGAAAATAGGCACTGATGGGGCGGGTACTGGAGTCATAATCCCTTGGCCTTACGTATCAACAGAACTACGGATTATTCACTTGATCCACACGTTTTGTTATCCCCATACGTCATCCCCCCCCCTTTAACCCTCTAATACATTTTAATTAAAAACACAGTTGATCCTCACTGAGCAACTTAACACTAAACTGAATCTGTATTCGCCAGTGAGGCCCCCTCTCTCTTCACCCCTTATCACCCCTAAATCCATTTAGAAATCCAGTAGAAAGCACCTTCACCGCAGCCACAAGGACCCGCCCCCAATCATACTACACAAATGTGTAGTGAATAAATAGTGCATAAAATTTACTCTGCGTTAGCATTTTACATTATCGTGAATAATCATTGTTTCGAGTTGTCACTGGGCGACTTTTTTTACTCTATTCTTTCACTTTTACGTCCAAGCCCAGACACTTCCTTCGTCGGGGAGGGGATGCTGGTGGCGGTGGAGGGGGCGAAATTTTACATTTAATGCACAGCACTTGGACTTTTTCCTCCCCAATTCAATTTATCTCGAGATTCATCTCCTCTCCCTCAGCTGCTGATAATCCAATATTTTTTTTTTTTTCACTCTTCGGACATATCTTTTGACTTCACTTGTACCACTGACACCTACTAGCACTTCTTAATCCGCTTTTTGTGATTATTCATTCGCTTTGGTTCTCAGTTTAGAAGGGATTGCTATTCAGTTTTTTAATTTTCGGTGATTTATTTTTAAAACGGAGGCAGTCTTGAGGGTTGGTGTCCAAGTCGACGGGGGTGACAAACCGAAACCCGAACACGGATGTTACTGCATCGTCCCTGCGCCAACATTGCGCCTTACGGGGCTTGATGGAACTAGTGGATGAGGGCTGAATAGACCACCCCCATCCTGCCTTTTTCCACCCTCCGTTATCGGGGCGGAGGGGGAGGCGAGTTGGCGCAGTAGGGGTGATTTCAGTGGGTGCAAAACACCCCCGAGGCGCCTCTCCGCCCCGGAGGGCTGAGTGCAAAATACCCCCGCGTGCCCCCCCTCCCCCTCTTCGACCATTCAAACCATTGATTTCTAGGGTTTTTTCTCAATGCGAGAAATTAATTTTTGGGTTTTCTCCGCTCTTCGGTTTCCAGGAATTCTCCCATGAGTCGCTCAATTTTTTTCCATCAAATCGAGGGAAATGAGGATTTTTTAGGGCGAGGGGCGGGAAGGGGAGGATCGGCTCGAGGGGCTGAGGACTAATTTAGAAAAACAAATTTATGGGGATTGTTGGGGCTCTCGGAAATGCCTGGAATTCATTCGTAATAGTGACGTTACCCCAGGATTCGTAAATACGTCAGCCCCATGAGTGTATGTCCACGAGAATGGATCAATGAAAGAGCATCCCCCCCTCGCCCTCGCTGGATGGTGTATCCCCTCCCGGCGGAGGGAAACGTGAGGTAGGAAAGGTAGTGGAGGGATATCGTACCACACCGCGCCACTTCTTTACTATCTCCCGGCTGAAAACGTTGACCAAAAAAATAGTGCTGGGGGTTGGGTAAAGCCAGGTTTTACGATATTCATACACTGAGGTGCTGTCATCGTTGCTGGTGGAATGACAACACGAGAGGCTCAGTTACTTATTCAGTTTGGAGTTAATATTTGTTATTTGTATTTGAACGTCGTTTGAACAAATTATTTTTTGGAAATTTAAAGAATTATTAACATTATTTTTTCACGGGCTTTATGTGCGGTACACGGTACCTGCTGGAGACGTTGGAAGATTGTAATTAGATCGTTGGTAGAAAATACGTTTATTTGTTCAGTTGATAATAATTGTTAAGACTTTTTGCGATTTTTCCAGGAAGTTTTTTTTTCTTCAAAGTCTATTTTGCGAATATCTCGGGATGAGTGAGGTTTAGCAAAAAATGTCAGATGATATTTTTTGTAGAGAATTTTAGTGGCTATAAGTAATTTCTTATGACATTTTTTGATAAATCCAATAGTTTTGGAGATATCCTCAAAAAACCCCAGATATAATTTCCACGAAATGAATATTTCTTCGGAAATAATTCTTAAATTGTCTTCAAAGCGAAGAAATTTAGAAGAATTTATCGAATTCCCCATTGTTCGCACAAATTATGTTCCTAAATTATTTTTTAAATTATTTTTTATTGAAATTTATGTACAGTAAATGGTAAATGCTGAAGACTTAATAACTAGCTCATCGGTAGAAAATACGTTTATTCGTTGAATGAACAATAAGTTCATCATGACTTTCATTTTTTATGCTTTAGATTACATTATTCTAGGAAGATCTTTTTCCCTCCAAGTTCATCTCGCCAATATCTCGGGAAGGACGAGGTTTAGAAAAAAACATCACAAGACACTTATCATAGAGAATTTCAAGAGCTACAAATAGTCTCATATGCTATTTTTCCATAAACCCAATAGTTTCGTAGATATTCTCAAAAAACGCAAAATATGTTTTCAGATATCTTCAACAAATTGAGGAAAATTCACAAGAAATGTTTTTGGCTCATAAAATATTCCACGAAAAATGTGTTCTGGCATTCTCCCTCGCCCTAATAGCTCCCAAGATATTTTCAAAAAGAGAATGAAAATTTTGCCTTCAACAAAAATTGAAAAAAAAAAAACAACTTCTATCTACGAATGTCTTAATCTCCTGACACAGGCATAAAAGGCAGCAACAGACATTATGAGTACAGGCAGGCCCACCCCAATAGATATTATCATTATCACCAAATAGGAGAACTGCTCGTCAGGTGGTGTGCCATAACCGACGATAAAAGTCCTGACAAAAAAAAGGGATACTTTAATCACAAAATTTGTCCTACTTTCCCCCCCAGTGCCAATAATCCATTAGTAACTCACCAAGTTGAATAATTAGTTTTAGTGTAAAAACCATCGCCTGAGGATCCAATAGTTACGTTTATCTTCTCCATCAGTAGGTCATCTCTTTGGTCACCGTAATATGCATATAGTATCGATTTTTTATCAATATTTGAGCAATTTCTCAGCTGATAATGGATTACGTCGGTGGAACTTGTAACGTCACGGTCTGACGTTGTGTAGGACACTGGTCGCCACTGCAAATACGCCTCTGCCTCTTCCATTTCTTTATTTATCATTTTCCAGGGGGTTCTTAATTCAACAACCTGAGGAGAGGGAATTAATTATGAGGCGATCAATATATTGATTGTCAGAGGTGAGGATATTAGTTTGGGAATATCTCTGGGAGGAGTGGATTTACAGGAAAATGTCAGAGGAATTTTTTGTGGGGAATTTCATGCACTAAGAAAAAGGTCTTTTCACTTTTTTTAGTACTTCTGATGGTTCTGGAGATATTTACGAAGTAAAGATGCATCGAAGTTTCTTCCTGTTTGAATTGGGTTTGCGTTGTTTTGTAAATAATTCAGGAAGTAGTAAAAAAATATTGTGATATTTTCCTCGAAAGCTCATAGTCTTAGAGATATAAACTATTTTTTAATGAACATTTTTTTAATCTTTTTTTTTTTAAATTTCATGAATTACGGAAAAAGTTTAAAAACATTTCCTTCAAAATTGGATACATTTAGATAATTTTAATATCTTCAGTGAATGCAATGAAAAAAAACATGAAAAATAATTTTTTACGAAAAAAGTCACTTGAAATTATGTTTTAATTAATAATAATTTTTAAAACATATTAAAAAACTTCTCATACATTTATATTTCATGAATATTTCCCTTTAAATTAAATAATTCCACAGAAATTTCAAGGGTGAATCATTAAATTTTCAATTCTTTTCTCTTCGTTCGAAATAAGAATCATATTATTTTGTAAATATCTTTCGAGAATGAATTCATTAAAACAAAAATGCGAAAACAAAAAAAATCTACATTTTCCCCTAAACCAAATCCTCTCAGAAATGAAAAAATAATTTCCCTTTGGTACCTCAAATATTCCTGGAGTATGTTCATCATCCAAACTCTTCTTAGCATCGATGGACATTCTCACAAGAGGGCTCTCTTGACTAACAATCAAGAGCTCCATACCAAATCGACTATTCGTGAATGTCTTGTTGGGCTCTAAATTCTCTATTATAAAATCTACTTGAGTCGAGTTTTCCGAGTGCAACATGTGGGGCATAACGTCGGAGTGCTCTAGAGTGCAAAATCCATTCAGCTGAAAAATAAAATAAAAACGTTGACAATGTAACTGCAACAAGTACTTTGCGGGGTTTCAGGATGATCGTTTGAGCGTTTACCACAACTCGAATGTTCCCACGTCTCGTGATGTTGTTGACTGTGTCATTGTAGTTCTCTCCATTCATGTGGAGCTCAACGAATTTATCATTGCTCTGTTCGCTCTTTCGCGACCAGAGAAAATTCTCTGGGTTTAAGATGTTGATTTTTTGGTCAGGGACAGTGTCCACGTGACCGTTATTATTGGTATCGTCGAATTCAAGCACCTGAAGAGGGTTGTTGAATTTCATTCAAATTATTTTGAGAAAACGTCGAAAAGTGTTCGATTTAAAATATAAATAAAATTTTATAAGACATTTTTATTCTATTCACAAAAAACGCTGAATGATATTTTTAAAGTAGTAAGAATAAACTCCAGTTAAGGCGTTGAGTGTAATGAGGAAAAATAAATTCAAAAAGCCCAAAAAAAATTATTTATCATTGATAATTTTTCCCATGAATGTTGACTTTGATGAGTGTACGAAATTGATTCATTAAATTCTTTCTCCAATTATTTTTTTAAACAATAGTCTCTCGTTTGACTAGGCTCTTTCGACATAACGTCCCATTTCAGGGACGCAAAAACATAAATAATTTATCACAAAAGTTTCACACTAACGATAATTTTTATATTGAGCATAAAATTTTTATTCATTTTTCGGATTTTTCGAGATTTTTTCTAGATTTCAATCTTCAAAATTTAAGTTATATTAATATTACTTCAAAGTAGTATGAATAAACTCTATTTCAGTCGTTGAGTGTAACGAAAAAAAATAAATTCAAAAAGCCCAAAAAAAATTATTCATCATTGACAATTTTTTCCATGAATTTTAACATTGATGAGTGTAAGAAATTAATCTCAATGAAAATGATTAAACTAAACAAAAATGTTTTCATTCATATTAACTTTCATTTAGAATTTATTTTACATTTTAACGTTCATATTTTAAGTTACGTTTATAGTAATTTAAAAAATGAATTGTTGAATAAAAATGACCCTGAAACGAAATGCCAATAAAAACCTTCTCAACAGAAACCCCAAAAGTGTACTCAGGCTCCTCAGTAAACCCTATCGACTTCGGCACATTGATTAAATAGTCATCCCAACTGATATTGAGCTTAGCAGAATTGGAAGTTATTGCCAGGAGTATCGCTGGCCTTTGTACAAAGTCCCAGAGATAGTGCAATGTGTCGGTGGGCCCCTCGGCTCGCAGATAAAACGTCGTGACGTTTAATTCTGCGCACTTGCCACCGCAGCCTGGATTCAACTCTGAGAATAGCTGAAAGAATTATACTCCGTTTCACTCATTTTATCAATCATTATTGATTTGTCTGCACTGATTGTAATTTTTAACAAAAAAAGTCTCTTGGATTTATGAAAATAAAATGGGAAATTGAAGATGAAAAATTCAATTCAACAAACAAAACAAAAAATTCATAAAACCTAAATTAAAATTTTTAATTTCAAAATTATCACTGACTAGTTTTCCAATTATCTCAATGATAAAAAAATGCCATCAATAAACGTCAAAAGACACTTCTTCTAACTGAGAAAATTTCCAATGAAAAAGTCTGATGGCCCCACGAAAATAAAATAAAAAATTAAGAGAAAAAATTAAATTCAATTGAATTTCTCAACAAAAACTATCAAATTAATCATTAACTTGTTCATTATGTGGAAAACGACTTATGCCAGAGCGGATTATGACAAGAAACGATTCCTTGAATATTTCATTTCCTACAAAAGGTCTTTTGACATTTTGCTCCAAAAGAAATCATAAAACCTGAACTGGAATTTTAAATCGCAAATTCATTACTGACTAGTTTTCCATTATCTCAGTAATAAAAAATTCTATCAATAAATGTCAAAAAGCACTTCTTCCACCTGAGACAATTTCCAACAAAAAAGTCTGATGGCCCTACGAAAATAAAATTGAAAAATGAAGAGAAAAAATTTAATTCAATTGATTTTCTCAACAAAAACCATCAAATTAATCATTAACTTCTTCATTACGTGGAGAACGACTCATACTAGAGCGGATTATGACAAAAAACAATTCCTTGAATATTTCATTTCCTACAAAAAAGTCTTTTGACATTTTTCTCCAGAAAAACTCATTATCGAGATATTGATTCCATTGACAAAATAAAAAATTCATAAAACTTGAACTGAAATTTTAAATGTCAAAATCATCATTGACTAGTTTTCCAATTGTCTCAGTAATAAAAAAATGTTATCAATAAATGTCAAAAGACACTTCTTCTAACTGAGAAAATTTCCAACAAAAAAGTCTGATGGCCCCACGAAAATAAAATAAAAAATAGAAGGGAAAAAAAATTCAATTCAATTGATTTTCTCCACAAAAGCCTTCAATTGCCCATTGTCGCCAAAAAATTAATCATAACGATGATAAACCCAGCAAAGGGGAGCGTAAGTCAGCTGTGTCCCACTGTAACCATGACAACAACGACACTCAAGGTTACCCGAAAAATCCCAACCTCCCACCCCCGCATCAATTTCCATCGTCACGAGACAATAAACACTGTCCTCTAAAACAAAGGAAAATCGATGACCTTTGGCACGTGAATTATCTCGCTGTGCTCCCAAGCCCAGAAAAACAACAATCAGATCGCCAGTAAATATTAATTCAATAATTAATCGAAAGGGACTTACCGTTCGCCGGGATCCCAAGCACGAATTCACCAGGAGTATTACGACGACGAGGGGATATTTCGAGTCCCACATGTTTTATCACTAATTTAATAATTATCGAGCACTATTGACGCTCACCAACTGTCACATTGTTGTGAGACGTCAATTATCGGGCTCCACTGTATCACTCTTTTCCGTCTGTCTCTGCAGTTTGCCGAGGGACTGGGGGTTCGTTAATTCCTCCGATGGTGTCAGCATCGTCCGGCAAACGATATCGGCAAGGTAGAAGCCACGCGATTAAAGGGGTACGAATGAACTCGAGTTGAGTCGTTGAGAGTAATGAGGAAAAATAAATTCCAAAGGTCAATAAGAAAATGATTCATTATCGATAATTTTTTACAGGAATTGTAACTTTAGTGGGAGCGAGAAATTGGGCTATCAAATTCATACTTCGATTGGTTTTTTGAACGATAGTCTCTCGTTTGCCTAGGATTTTTGAAGCCGATGATAATTTTCATAATGGGCCAAAGTTTTTTGTCATTTTTCGTTTTTTTTTGTGGATATACGAGACGTTTTCCCGTGGATTCAAATGAATTTTTACAGTTGATGTATGAGAGATCGTGGACCCTCAACTTTTACTTCTCAAATTAAATCTAGATCTAGACATTGGACTAGACACATTGAGTCAATTGATAAGTGCTATGTAGACAGTAGACTAGTACCTAATTTTCTCATAATATCAATTCGGTGAATACGAATATCAGTCTAGATTAACGTACGAGATTTATCTAACTGTGGTTTCTTTTCTGAAACACACATTTATGTACTGTTCATGCCCCAGAAATGCAGAAATAAAAATTTTTTTTTTTTCACCCGGAGCCAAAGTGCCATATTTAGGCTTTTTTGGGGGGGAAAGTCGACTTTCGCCAAAATCGAATTTTTCCGCCGAGTGAAAGTCGATTCTGTATTTTCTGGCCCGCCTAATGCCACTGAG